TGCAGGTTAATAAAAAAACCGAAACTAAATAGGTCATTTGAAGTAAGTACTTACCGGATAAGCATTTAGTAAACGACCCTTAAATAAGTCATTTGAAGTAAATGAAGTTTGAGTTAAACAATTTTAGATTATCCGGTTTTTGGGTTAAACGATTCGGTTAATTGAACAAAAGTATTTTTATTCGGTTCAATTTTGAATTTATTTGTTTTTACCAATTTAAACTAACCCTAAAATTCATCAGTGCATCTTCAACAGATTTTTTAAAATTTTACTTTGAAGATTTTTGCTCCAACAGATTATACAAAACCTTCTTCAAAACAGAGAAAGAATGTGAAATTCTCCAAAATGAAAAACTCTTCAAAAATGATTGCTTAGAAATCCTACCAATCAGAATCCTTGAAATCAAAAATGATTGCTTAGAAATTTATATTTTTTCTTATTAAGTTGCATGCAAATTAAATATTCTCAAAGTAAAATATTTATTAAATAAATATGAAACATTATTTTCGAGATATATTTTTTTTGAAAAAAAAGTAATTTTTCTTATTTTATATTGTTCAAATAAATACATATCTTTTAAAGTTTTCTTTAAAATATTAACGAAATAAATTGTTATCTACAATTTTTTAATATTGTTATATTAATAAATAATTCAAAAAAATCTAATTAATTTAATATTATACGTCAAGTAAAAAGTTTTTGAACAAATATAAAATATTCTTTAAAAGATAATATTTTTTGGTAAAAAAAGAACAATTCTTATTTTTTTTTTCAAAAAACACATATTTAAAAAAAAAATATTAGCGAGATAAGTTATGTTATACTAGTTTTATTGATATTGATATATTAATGAATAATTTAGAATTTTTTTAATTCATTTAATACATTTATTAAATAACATGTAAAATATCTAAATATTAAAATTAAAAATACAGTGTTTAATAAGAACTAGTAGATGTTATAATAAAATAATTTTGAAAGTACATGATGTAGTAAGAAAGTTACATCATTATATTACATGTGGACAACTTACGTGGACAATGAGGTGGCATGGAAACCTAGTATAATGAGTAAATTTAAATCAAAAAGTTACCGAATGCTATAATGGGTAAATTTTTCAAAGTACAATGTCTTAATAAAAAATAGTTTGAAAGTACATTGCTGTAATAAGAAAAACTGAAAGTACAATGCTATGATAAAGAAATTTATGAAAGTAGATTGTTATTTTGTACATTTTGTCCTATTAATATTTATTTTTATTTTATTTTATCTATGTACAGCTTTGTCATGTGATTTTTTGGCTGAATTCTTATAGGTGATTGATTTTGTTAGTATCGGAATCAATACTCTCATTCTTCGAATTTGGACTGCAAATGAGTTTATAGGGGTCAAACTTGGACCGAAATGGCTTTAGACCACTGAACATATGTGCGAGCACACGTCTTGTCGGTACAAATACTGCACCGAGGTCGACCAAAAAAGTTTAGGATAAGCTTTGCTACTTTCTAGATGGACACAGTCGCCGGTAGAACCATTAAGCATTGAAATGGAATCACTGTAGTAGCACCATTAAGGGTTGTAACCGTCACCTGTGGCCCCTTGGTAAATCGCTCTCGAGGGTTAGACTAGAAAAGCGTAAAATATTTCCGGTACTTAAGAAACAAGCGAAACCTGATCAGTGTGAAAAACGACAAGGATGGGAGTTATAGGTTTTAATTACAGTGCCTTGGATGGGTAAGCTAACCAGTGTCGTCACTAGAATAAAGTATGATATAATCACAAAAATAACCGAAATTGGAATTGGCCTCACAAAATAACCAACTTTTTCTAAATCAGCATAAGATAACCACCTATTTCGCAAAAACCGTGAGCTATCAACCCACTTTTTTGCAAAATGCACTTTTTGGTTCATTTTATTCGGATTGTGGGCCCACTTCGAAAAAAAAAACATAACCAAAAATAGGGGTGTACTTGCTTTTTTGCAGAAGGGTTTATAAAAATCAAAAAAGAAACGACAAAGGTGGTGCCTGATTGGTTTGAACTTGGCTCCAAAGGTCAAAAGTACAAGAGGTCCCATGCTCAAATCCAAGGAGGAAATAAAAATCCCATTGTGGCCACGGAAGTTCAAATGCGGTCACTCCGGGCTATTTGCAAAGCAGGTGGTCACCTTGGGATTAGTTGGCTCGCATAGCGGGTTGGAAATCCAGGTTAATAAAAAAAATCGAAAAAGATCTGAAAAATATATTGTTCGTAAAAAATAGTTGTTGCTCACGTGTTATATGAAATAGGTTGGTTATTTTATGCTAATTTAGAAAAAGTTGGTCATATCGTTATTTCAAATGGGATATACTGGATTCGTTTAAAGGACAAGTCAGCATACATCTCAATCCCAAATCCTACTTTTGAGTGAGATATACTGTGTTCGTTCGCTGACTAAAACATCATAGATTCGAGTCAAGAAAACATCTTAAGCGAAAAGATCGAAAGCCCTTCACGACCTTCACGAATCGAGTAACCTTGGTACATTTAGTTTACCCTTTTTACATCTCTTATGCAACTTGTAGTGTAGTTAACACTTGTTTGAAAACACTTGGCCCCGATTTGCAAGATCTCGACGGTTCAACATTTTTCATGGATATAAACGTTCGTTTCCTGTAGAAGCTCATATTATTATGGTAACGTAGTACAATTTCCATCACTGTTTGGTACATGAAATACGTATCCCATCTGATTAGGAACCATTTACTTGTGGTCGTGACACCATGGGCAGGGCGGAAGTTGCAGGCGGCGCTGGTGTTGTTGATCACGCACGTAGTAAAATGTTAGGCCAAGGATCGGGATGCAGCAGCAAAAAAGGGCGAAGATCATGAACAAGAAGAGCATGCAGCATATTGCGAGCGTGATGTCGAAGCACAAGAAGAAGGTAAGGATCCTGCAATGATTGAAGACATCAAGACTTACCCGAAAGCTAGAGACCGTTGTACAGATATTTTGCAGGTTGCAAGCTCGACAGAAAAAAAAAGAGTTAGTTAGGTACCATGTAAGGTTTGGTGCAGCAATGTACATTTGATCTGCTCCTTTCACCATGAAAAACATTCCCAATCCCCACCAGAAAATCCCAAATGCATTCTTTTTGTATTCCAAGTTCCTAAAAGTAGCAAAATTATAATTGAGATCGTGATCGAATAAAGTTGTACGATGGTAATTTTGTGATTATTGAGAAGTCTCGTGGCAATTTTGTGATTATGAATGTTTAGATCGTAGATCAAATCCAAGGGTTAAGAATTGGTCTTACGGGTCTCACAAAAAACCTTTGGTCTCACATGATTCCAAGTCCACACACACATATATTTGTATGTATATATACAGGGTTGGTTTAAATATAAAGACTAAATACGCTAAGAAAGGAAGGTTTATATGTGAATGTACTGAAAAAAAATTCGAAAAAAATTATTCTAAGAAGCATATGTGAACTAATGTTACAGATTATTCATATGGGTTCATATATGCATTTTCAAATGGATTTTTTCAAGGATTTACATATGAACCTTCCCTTAATCTTCCTTTCTCACTTTCTCGTGATATTTAACTTTTTGGTGGATGTGGTTCGGCCCCACCCGAACGCGTATTTGTCTTGCTTTTAGCGTTTTTTCTTGATCTGGAGGGTCTCCCCCTCTCTATCATTAAACTTTCTTGTTTGAATCTCCCAATATATATATATATATATATAAGAGAGGGAGGGTTATGTATGAACCTTAAATATTTTAGGAACCCAAAAACCATCTTTCATGGTTCTCGGGTTTCTAAAATATTCAAGTATCCTGTATGAACCTAATGAAACAATATCTTAAATCTTCGTCTTAGATGAAAAAGATCATACAAAACAATACGTTTTGTTGATAACCCTTTTTGTGGTTTTCACATGATTAGCCCCTTGGACGAAAGAAGATACCTGAATGTTGTGGAGCCTGCTTGAGACCACGGGCCACCTTCGTATTGTATGATCGAAAACAACACATGGAATATACAATAAAGCATGAAAACGACGATCCAAAACCGAAGGGGCATTGTTGGAATTTCTTGTTTGCTCTTGTTAAGGATGAATGCACCAAAAAGTATAAACATCATGGTTAGAAGCATATCAAAAATAAGAAATCCTTTTGCTAGAATTCTCGATAGGCCTCGACGTCTTAATTCAACACTGTCTCTAACCATACGAGATGCGATCAGGAGAATAACAGTATCGCCTACGTTGGATATAACATTCAATATCCTCGTAAATTGTATCCAAACTCTTGCCCAATCCATATTGGGCAAGAGTTTGGAAAACCCTAATTCCAATCAGTCAAGATTAACCCTAATTTCTTGTTAGGGTTTTTATTGCTTTTTTTTCTTTCTATAATATGGAGATGAAAAGGGGAAAATCTTTCATTATGATGGTAAGAAACTTGGTGTAATCACCTCTAATTCTTGAATCATTTTGCCTTTGAAATCTTTCCAAAAATAGAAGGACTTTTGAGGTCAATTTTTGTTTGACACAAGTCAAGGCTTTCTATGTTTGGAAATTATTTCGTCTATTATATTTTCGGTCACTATGGTTTCGATTTTCTTTCGGATTAGGTCCCTTTATTAGACGCCACTGTTAACTTTTGTCCGTTAACCGAAGACTTGTGTATACATACATCTGGTGACGTCTTCATAAGGTCATAAGTTTTCACTTCTAACTTAGATCGACTCTTTTTACGAGATCTACATGTCAGCAAAATTTGATGATTTATCAAACAAGCGTCGAGATGTTACCGTGTTTTTTCTAGTCCAATTCGTGTATGCATTTAGTAGATCTTCGTGAGATCGTAACTTTCCACTCCTGACTCATACGAGATGATATTTTTTTATCAGTTAGCTTATCTTTTCGAGATCTACATGCCAGAAAATTCTGACGATTTATCGATCAAACATAAATAAGTTATCGTGTTTTTTCGAGTACGGCGCATAATTTAAGAAGAAATAACAAGGCTTTTCATATACAAGTGATGAAGAGAGCTGCATATGGGAACTTAAAAAGGAACCCTCAAACTCTCTCTCTCATGTTTCTCTACAAACTTCCTGTTTTTCAAGGTACAAGTGAAATAAGCACCAAGTACAACATGTTATACAAATCTACGACAAATCAATTGTCGACAACAGGGCGCGTACACAGCGGGCACGGTGGATCCCTTCGATCTTCTCTATGAGTTCTTGTTTCCAAACAATCTGCATGATATACATGGCCACAAACAAGAACCGCCACAACAGAATAATCGCCCGTTCTTTGTTGACATAACCTACACACCATACTCATTACCTCGGGGGATATTGCATCGATTACCAACGGATTTGATCGGATTCTGTCCATCCTTCTTGATGCCTTATCCCTCCTCCCTGCAAAAAGACCATCAAGAAAAAGAAACTCAAACCCGTAAGGAATTATCTTGCTTTCTTTCTTGCTTTCCAACCGGGAAATCAAGAATCTTTTGAAAGCATTCCAAACAAGAAACAGGTAAGAATTTCCATCTTACTCCATCCATTTCAAGAAATAATGTTTCCTCTTAAATCTGAGAAACCATGAATCTTTGAAACATTCCACTACTGATAAGCTAGTTGTTAGCCGATAAACTACGTCTGATTGGCAAAAACTAGCTGATACGCTAGAATACGATGTAAAATGACATAAAATGAGAATATAAAGGGCAATTGTGTAAAATATAAAGAACATAATCGGAAAAAAGTGAAAAAAAAACACCACGAAAGAAACCAATGCTGCTCTTCCTACCATGTAGAAGTTCATAGGAAGTCTTCTTAAATCTTTTTACAATGAATTGACCTATTTTGGATGAAATATACTGTCTTAACGGCTTCAGCCCAAAAGTTCGTTTAAAGATTTGCCTCAGGGTACCTTTTCAAAAAGATCATGGCTTACCAAATGGGACTTTTTCAATAAGCGCAAAAGTTAAGTTGGCTTATGGTTGCCAAACATGGCCAGAGCTTGGGTAAGTCGGAAAAATTCACCCTGATTCAAACAAGTTTCTATATTTTGAACCACTTTGAAATGAAAAGGGGGTTGAGATTTTCATGGGTGCTCTGGCTGCTAGTTCATGTCACGTAACACAAGCATAGCGTTCAAAATTTGAGGTCAAATAATAATCATCATATTCAAACAAATTGGGAAATATTTAGTTTGACTGCAAAAATTGAAGTATATATCTCTTTTCTGGAAATGAAGAGAGTAAAAGGAAAAAGAATACGGATCACCTGCATAATATCCAAATCCTGAATCGGGTCTATGACCAAACTTCCAATTAGGTTTGTCATCACGCTGAGTACTCTTTCCGTGAGAAGTTGATGTTCCAGAATGATTGGTGGTATTTCTTTGTGAATGCTGGACGTTGTAGTAATGCCGTGGAACCCTTGATAACAATGCCCGGTTAAAATTGTGGTGGCGATGATGGGTGGATGACTGGTGGTGAGCATGCGGTGATCTTTCCACAATATTCATGAGAGATGATGATGTAGGCCGCCCTCCAGTAGAGCCAAATGAGTGAGAAGATTTCTGATAAGAAGTAGGAGATGCTATTTGGTTAAATATAAGTCATTCGAGAACACAGATAAACCCAACTTCAAATACCAGAAAAAAATGAGAAAAAATGTCGTGTCAAATATGGGACAACAAGTTTTTGTTCTGTCCTGTGTTGTGTACCAAACGCACTCTTAAGTCCTGAAAATGACAAAACGAGGGAGGAGAGAAGAACCTCTTTTAACGATGATTCCATTTGAGAGGCGTGTGACATGAAGGCTGCAAGTCTCAAAACGAAATGAAGTAATCAGTTAGATTCTAGTTTCCTAGACGGTAAAGAAATTGTAGTAACGATATTGTTAAGCAAACAAGATGTTTATAAATCCGGTGATTGGCCTTCGAGCAAAAAGACAAGAAAAGTCGCCACCATAAAGTTGTCTAATAAAATGACGATTAGCAGCTAAGGAGGAAGCATATAAACAAGAAATCTTGATGCTTCGAATGGAATTTGCAATAATCAAACCAAACGAACACAGTAAATCCCACAAAGAGTAGGGTCCAGGGAGGGTAAGATGTACGCAAACCTTTCCTCTACACCAGTAAAAAAAGAACTATTGTCTGTTTCATGAAGTTTTACGTAGATGATTGATCGAAGGGCCCAAATTAGTAGTAAGAATGCAAGAATCAAAGATTGAGTTCTTCATCAACAATATCATATGAGGTCCAAGCTATAAAACTTACCAATTTGAACTTGAACATGGGGAGAAACAGATATTGATCATTGATATATGATCATTGTTCTCTTAAGAACCCATACCGCCAGAAAGTTCAACCAAACATCAACTCAAGTTAGAAACCCCACTAATTAATTGATAAATTTGAGCAAAAGGTTGATTACCAACAACCCTGACCGACCCTACACGAAACCCGCCCCCTAGGAACCACATGTGAGAAGGCATTTCAGATCTTACTCGGGGGTTCAAGACCGTCTCCTGCAGGATTCGAACTTGAACCTGTTATGTGTATTTGAGCAAAGTCGATCTGCCAGCTAAGCTACACACTCGACGGCTATAATAATGCATAAATTGGTACTCCCAACTCTCTTTTCGTTTGATTCTGGAGTTCCCTTTCACAGTTTCTAGGAACTAAAAACATCTAGAGGTTCATTAGGGTTAATTTCAGTCAATTTCCTTTGATTGAACTCAGCATTATCCTCCTTACACAAAAACCCTAAATCACTTGAACCTTTCCAAATTACCTCCAAAAACCTAGGGTTCACAATGTTGATTGTTTATAGATGATCTAAATCATGATTCTTCATGGGTTTCTCACCTAAAACATCAAAAGCATTCCAATTTTTACAAAAATTAAGGCGATTACACAAAGATCAAATCTATATATTAATCATCCAAAACAGGGCTTTAGCACTTGATCATTACAACCTCGCAGAATAAGATTAAATTCAGACATAACAAATCCAACCCAATTAAATATAAACAAAACCCATCAATGATAAGTAGAAACTCAACAAACCCATGATCAAAATGGTGCAAAAAAGGAAGAAAAAAGAGATGAAATAAACGAAAAGGCATACCAGGAGAAGGAGGGGTTTTATTCCGGTCAATCCTTCGTTTTCTCTTCCCCATATGGTATATTAGATACACAAATTTATACGTATAGTTTGAAAATTTAACGGCTAGGGGATAATCGGGAAGGATTAGGGTTTTTGGGTCGTTGGAAATTTTAGGGCAAGTGTAACCGAATCTTGTCGAAAAAGTGTGCGAAATATAAACTTCATTCTTGTAATATCATCCATTTCTTTTTTGCAATCCCAAGGGCTTCTTGGCTTCCAAAAGCACTTCCACCCATTAAAATTCTTAAATATATTTTTTTAACTTTCGATATCTTTGATTTATCATAGGATCCTAAAAATAGTCTGAAAATCTCCAATGATCTTACAGTAATTGAATTAAGGTAATGTTCAAATATAATTGAACATGATTAAACATGACAGGACAAAAGGGTAGGACTGGACAAAAAGATAAGACTGGACATGACTGGACGGGACAGAACCGGGCATAATAGAAGTATGTCTGGTGTTTGGTACGACTAGGAGTGGACGAGACATAACTAGACAAACTACCCCAAAAAATTATTTGATGATTTTAAATATTGTATAATACTTATAATTAACACAAATAAAGTAAATAATTAAAGAATTTAATTTATAAATATTTGTACATAATTTTCATATTTGTACCAAATTTGAATGAAAATTTTGATATAATTGATAATAGTAGTGGTGTTGGTGGAGGTGGTGGTGACCGATGGTAGTAGTGGCAACGGTGGTTATGGAGGTAGAGGCAGTGGTGCTTGGTGGATAACGGTGGTTATAGAGGACATGAAGATGGTAGATTGTGGTGGTGGTGGCGGTTGACAAACGGTGGAGGAGGTAGTTGTGGTTGATGTAGTGAAGATAGTGGTGATGGTGGTTATGGTGGAGGTGAGGTGGCAATGAATGGTGGTGGCCGATGGTGGTCGTGGAGGAGGTTGTTGCAGTAGAGGAGGAGTTGAAGGTGGCGAACGGCGATAGTGGTGGTGGCAATGAACAATAATGGTCGGTGGTCGACTATGGTAGAGGTGGCAATCGACTTGGTGGAGGGTAGTTGTGGAGGCGGTAGAGGATGTAGTTGTAGTGGAAGAGGAGGTGGAGGTGGCCGCCGGTAATGGTGGCGGTGGCCGAAACTAGCGGTGATGACCATTAAAACAAATATCATATTAAGGTTATATATCAAACTAGGGTAGATTAGTAATATTTTAGTTTATGTCTCATTCTTGTCCCATCTTGCTCCACTTATTTTGGTGGAACAAAAAAAAATCTCTTTTGTCCCATGTTGTCCCACCTTATCCCATTTCTTATCTCTGTTCCATGTCGCGTCAAACGTGGGACAGTGAATTCTTGTTCTGTCTCATGCTGCGCCAAACATGTGACAGTGAGTTTTGTCCCTTTCTGTCATGTCCCGTCTCATGTACCAAACACAGCCTAAGGGGTCATTTACTGAACAGTTACTCGATAAGTATTTACTGGGTAATTTTCCTTACCGGATGAATATGACAAGGGGAAAGAATCTTAACCGTTAAGAGCGATGATAAGACCCGGGTAAGCGCTTACGAGGTAAATTATTGCATAAGATACGTTTTGATGTAGCACAACCTTGTCCGATAAAATAAATTATAGTGTTGACTCTTAACGGTTAGCGCTTACCGCGTAAGCATTTAGGTAAACGACTCATAACAATAAATTGTTAATCACCTTTATACATTTACCAACTGAGCTTGATTATTTATCATAATGTAATACATATATCAACTAAGGACAGTAAAAATTTAAATAAATGACCATTCTGGTAACTCTAAAAATGTTAACAGGAAAATATATAAATGAATAGTGTTACATTAAATTGGTATTTTACTTAGGGATGGCAACGGGGCGGGGATGGGGCGGGGTTTGCAATCCCCGGCCCCGGCCCCGGTTTATATACAGAGTCCCCGGACCCGGCCCCGTCCCCGGTCAACCCCGGTCAACACCCGGTCAATTTAAAATTAATAAGTTTTTTCTAAACATGATCAACATAACAACATAATTAGTTAATTACATCATATCTAGTCTTACCTAATAAAAATAATAAAATTGTAAAATTAACAATAATCCAAGAAGATGAAAAATTTAAAACAAGTGTTTTCCAAGCATTCAAGCAACACATAATTCCATACTCCAATCTCTCAACAATCAACATCTTCATCGTATCCAATCGTTTGATCAAATCCTTTTGGTTCTCCGTGTTTTTGATCTGAAATAAAAGAATGCAAGTCAGAATAATTATATATACCAATTGCAATTTACATAATTATTACAACAAACAATTTATATAATTATTACCTTCAATTTCTTTCCTTAGCCAACTTTGGTTGCACATCAAAGCCCCAATTGTTTGCGATTTTAGTCGACTTCGTTGTTTCRTTACCTTGTTTCCACTCATGCTAAAAGCCGATTCCGAAGCTACTGTTGAAATAGGAATGACCAACACATCCCTTGCAATCCGCTGCATGATAGGAAACTTGACACCGTTGCACTTCCACCATATTAATATATCAAACTCTTCATCCAGCGGTAACAATTTCTCTGACAAGTAATCATCTAACTCGGTCTTTTCAAACATGTCATCCTCAGATATCATATTCTCAAAATCCAATTGCCATGAGGCCTTGCTTGAAGAAGAATTCCCCTCACTTGAAAGAGTAGTGCCACTTTGTCTTTTCCTTTTATTCTGATCATGTTTCTTTTTGTACTCCTCAAATAAATCATTACTTAGAGTCCTTATCCTCATAACCTCATCTTTTGAGTCCACACCATAAATCTTCGGGAAGAAATAATTTATCAACTTTAACTTATATCTAGGATCTAGAACAATAGCCACACTCATCACATCATGTATGACTCCCCAATATTTATCGAACTTAAACAACATACTTGATGCCATGTTCCTAATAACGTCATTTTCATCG